AATTAAAAGTTTTAAGCACTTGCTTACACACACACACACACACACACACACACACACACACATACACCTCTCTAGTGTAACATTGTAGCCCTGGGCACTTCTCTTCCTTCTAGGGAACAAGATCTAAAACTTGAGCTAAACCCCTACCAAGACACAGTCACTGTCCACCCATGGGACCCCGCTTCTGTGTGAGGAGAGATGCTTTCCCGTCACTGCTCAGACTGATTTGCTGACCAATGCAAAGATAACAAGTGACCTGAACAAAAATGCCTCAGTGGGCTTCCTCCTCTTAATTCTGTTCCAGGACTGCAGAATATGGTTATTCAACAGTCCAACCACGGCCCACCACACCCAGCAGCCCTCCCAAGCCTTCAGCTCCACAGCCTGCCAGCCATCCCCTCCATCCTCATTGTGGATGTGCTAAAATCTACAGGGCTTCCTGAGGAACCGCTCCAGGTATGTAACAGCATGGAGTTTGAGGGACTTTGTAACCCACGATGCACGCTGCTCCCCTGGCCTGGTCCCCTGTCTTGGGTCCCGCCAACAAAATAGCTGTATCCAAGGGCATGAAAGACCTGGGGGACAGTGAGAAAGGGTTCTCTCTCTGGGGTTCCTCTAGGCCTCCCTTTTCATCCACCTCTTCTTCCTCCTCCTCCCCCTCCTCCCCCTTCCCCAGCATCTCCCCTCCATCTCTCTCCCTCCTCTTCCTCCTCCCCCTCCTCCTACATCTCCCCTCCCTCTCCCCTTATCCTGCATTTCTCCCTCCCCATTCTCCCCTCTCCCCCCTCCTCCTCCCTCCTCCTCCTTCCTCCCCTTCCTCCAGACTTTAGCTCTGTATTTCAAGCACTCGGTTGCCAGTCTACTTGGCCCTAGATGAGTTTAGTCTGAAAACCACAGCACACGGAGAGTTCGCAACTCCACTCCTAAGTGCCTACATGTGTGTTCACCAAAGGCCACATGCTGGAATGTTCCTAGCTGCACCCAGTAAGTGGAAACAACTGAATGCCCACCAGCATGAACACAGGGTGTTATCACACAATGGAAGTCTACACAGCAAGGACAAGTGATTGAAGCCATAGGCGACAGGGTGGGTGAATGTCACGCGCACAATGCTGAGAAAAAGATCCACTCATGAAAGAACACCCGTGACATGAGGCTCCTCTCGTGAAGTCCAGAAACTAGGCAGACGTCTTCTGTGCTATAAGAAGTCAAGGTCATGGGTCAAGTAGGATAGCGCACACCTGTAATCCCAGCACTCAGGGGGCAGAGGCAGTCTAATCTCTGTGAGTTCAAGGCCAGCCTGGTCTACATAGCAAATTCTAGGTCAGCTGGGGCTACAGGGAGACCCTGTCTCAAAAAACCAAAACCAAAACCAAATCCAAATCAACAAAATAAACAACCGATCAACCAAAATCTCAAATCCAGGGCTGGAGAGATGGCTCAGCAGTTAAGAGCACTGGCTGTTCTTGCAGAAGACCCGGCTTCAAACCCCAGGGCCCACATGGCTGCTATCAACCATTCTTAATTCCAGTTCCAGGGGATCCATCGCCCTTTTCTGTCCTCCTCAGGCATTGCAGGACATGGGTGCATCTACCTATATAGGCATAACACTCATACACAAAAAATAAGTCAAAGTCATGACTGTCCTTGGGGAAACGGCAACTGGAAAGCATCAAAAGAAGAGCTCTGGAGGCTGACTGTGTGACTTCTGATCTGGTTACATACATATGGACACACTTTGAATCTAGTGGATCTCAATTAAAAGCTTATTGGCCAGAGAAATGCCACAGTGGGTTAAGGCACTTGTTTGCCTCACAGAGCTTGTCAACTTGACACACCAGGGAACACGGAGCCTCAATTGAGTTATTTCCTCCATTGAATTGGCCTGTGACCATGTCTGTGAGACATTTTCTTGATTGCTAATTGATGTAGGTGGGTCCAGCCTGTTATATGTTGGTGCCATCCCTAGGCAGGTCAGCCTGGGCTGTATAAAAAGTAGCTAAGGCATTGGAGAGGTGACTCAGTGGCCAAGAGTACTTGCTGCTCTTCCAGAGGACCTAGGTTCAATTCCCAGAACCCACATGGCAGTTAACAACCAACTTTAACTCCAGTTCCAAGGGAAGCGACACCCTCTTCTGGCCTCCCCACGTGTGGTGCGCTTACATAAATGCAGGCAAAACTCTCATACACCAAAAATAAAGATGAATAAGATTTTTTTTTAAAGAAAGTCGTGGGGCTGGACAGTGCAGTGGTTAAGAACACTGTTCCTGCAGAAGACCCGGGTTCGAATCCCAGCACCCACATGGCAGCTAACAACTGTCCGTAACTCCAGTTCCAGGGGATCCCACAGTCTCTTCTGTCCTCTGCGGGCATTGCACGACACGGGTGCACTTACCTACATGCAGGCAATACATGCGTACACATAAAATGAAAAATGAAATATTTAATAGGAAGTCGCTAAGCAAGCCATCAGAAACAAGCCCGTAGGCCGCATTCCTCCATGGTCTCTGTTGCTTCGGCTTCTGCCTCCACGGTCCGGCCTCGAGCTCCTTCCTGCCTGCCCGCCACAATGGCCCATCATCTGTAAGATGGAGTAAACCTGTTCTTCCCTAAGTTAGTTAATCAGAGCAACAGAGAACACCATACATGCCTGTCAACCTGACTTCAACCCCCAGAACTTACGGCAGAGGAACAAAAGTGACTCCAGCAAGCTGTCCTCTGACCTCCACATACATCACATGTACACCCACACTGAGCACACAAATCATACCCACACATGCAATAATGATAAAAAAAATTTTTTTTTTTTTGAGATAGGATCTCACTGTCTATCCCTGGCTGGCCTGGAACTTGCTATGTAGACCAGGCTGGCCTTGAACTCAGAGATCTGCCTGCCTTGCTCCTGAGTGCTGAAAGCAAAGGCATGCACCATCGCGTCTGGCAATAAACAAACATTAAAAAAATATATTTGAGCTGGGCACACGCCTTTAAACCCAGCACTTGGGAGGCAGGGGCAGGCAGATCTTTGTGAGTTCGAGGCCAGCCTGGTCTACATAGTGAATTCCTGGTGGTGCACACCTTTAATCTTGGCACTCAGGAGGCAGAGGCAGGTGAATCTGAGTTTCAGGCCAGCCTGATCTACATAGTGAGTTCCAGGACAGCTGGGGCTACAGGGAGACCCTGTCTCAAAAAGACCAAATATATATATATATATATTTGAAAAATTTTGGTATCTATACACATACATACACCATGGCCTGGATAGTTCTCTCCCCTCTGTGGAAAAAGATCTAAGACTTGTCCTTCTACTAAGGCAAAAGCACTCAGTGCAGACCACCAGCCATGTCCCCTATCCCCAGCCTTTGTGCACTGGGCCGTCGGGTAGAAATGTTTTCTTGGCTCCAGACCCCTTAGGGAGACGAAGCAAAGCCCAGTCACGATCCCAACTTTCTCAAATCCCACTCCCACTTTTCAGACCCCTGAAGTTTCTGGAAGCCTGGGTTCCTGAGGCCCAGATAGGCACACCAGCATCTAGGAGCAGTTCATCTCCCTCAATACCGAGCCTCCAGCCACTTACCCCCAGGTCTCCCTCCCAGGCCTTTACAACCGCCCCACTCTTCCAGCTGCAACCCCGAGGGTCTCTCTCATACACACCTTCTTGGTCCTCCTCCTGCCCCAAGCACTCCTCCCACAGCGCCCCTCCCTGGAACAGCACATGCACTAAATGTGCATGGAGCCTTAGCAGTGTAGCTGCTGATCTGGACCCCCTACACACACACAGTATCTTACCACAAGCTTACAGTCACCGTGGGGAAACAGCTCTACCCCACTTACAGGAGGGGAGCATAAAGCTCAGACATTGAGGGATCTCTGGGAGCCACACAGGGTCCATTACACTAGGCTGAATGACAGATACGTGTAATCACTTCTGGGAGCTCTTGCAAGTTTAAAGAAGCATGTGCTGAGCCAAGGAACGAGACAGAGGACGGCTACCAGATGGCAAGATAAGTGCCACTCAAAGCGCCCACTCAAGCTGACAACCCATACCACTAGGGATGCCTACAACACTCATTATGGGGAACCAGGGAGCTAGGCAGCTAAGTAGTTCAAGGAGAGGCTTTCCAAGAGGGACTCCCCAGCTGGGCGGGACCGCCTCGCAAAGCCAAACAGCTCCAGAAACCCCACTCATCCACTTACCTCAGTCTCCCCTCCATCCTGTACTCTTCCCACTATTGACCCAACGAAACCCTGCGGCACACTGGGCGGCTGTTTGTCCATGTCCAGCAGCCCGGTGAGAGAAGTCAACAAAAGCAAGGCCCAGCTTTCAGGACAAGGGCTCCTGGCTTGTCACCATCACACTGTGTGGCAGCCAGCTCAGTGCCATGTATAAGCCCATTCAGTCCAGTCTCTGAGAGTCACTACTGTTCTCCATCAGTACCTTAAGTGACTTGACAACAGCTAGTAAGTAGAGATGGAGACCTCAGCCTGCTGGTCCACAAAACCCACACTCTGCATCTCTACCCCACATCTCATAAGCATCATACAGGCCAGGGACAGAACAGGACAGGGAGAGACCTATATCCTAAGAACTCAGAGAGGAATCATGGGAGTCCCTCACAGGCCTGTCCCCCACCACACCTTGCCAGAGCCAAAGACACAGAACACATGTGCCTCAAAGAGTCAGGATGTCAAATTCAAAGAGACCACCCCAGACACCTGAATGAAAAAAGCAACACAGGAGCCCCATCTGACACCAGGGAGATCCTGGTTCAAAGTTCTCCTTCTCAGCCTGAGAGTGCTAGCTGGAAGAGGCCTGTGACACAGGCAGGACCAGAGCCCAAGCAGTGTTCAAGGTCATACAATGCAAGCTGAGGCCCCTTTCCTGTTATATATTACATATGCATTGGCCAAGAGCCCTGGGACAAGGTCCAAGAAAGCACCTTGAGGCCTTTCAGCTACAGAATGCCTACTTCTTTCTGATGCCCCTGGCCCCAAGATACCTTCTGTGCGGATGGTAAAGGGTGAGTCTCCCAGGCGCCGGGCAGAGAACTGGCCTCCCAGAGATGTCATCAGGAAGCAGAGGGTGAAGAAGCCGATGCCTAGGACAAACAGCCTGCAGGGAGAGAGGAACAGGGCGAGTCAGCAGGATGGGTCAGCTGGGCATGCCAGCGACACAGCAACCCAGCCTCTACCTAGGAAGGGCACACATAAGCTTTAAAAATGAGTGCATGGGCTGGGCAAAGTGGCACACACTGGTAATTTCTGCACTTCGGAGGTAGAGGCGGGAGACTCAGAAGTTCAAGGTCATCCTCAGTTACATAATGAGTTCCAGGGCAATCTGGGCTACATGAAACCCCATCTCAATGAGTAAATGAATGAGTGAAAAGACCTAGGGAGGGATGGAAAAATCAGAGGGTGGGAGGCTTTGTTCCAGGGCCCGGAAGACTCACACCCCAGTGGGACAAAGAAACTGGCCACATGGAAAAAAAAACAGGGAAGAAATCTGAACAAGGGCCAGCCTCAAGACAGAGGCTGGTTCATCTGGAGCAGCAAGTTCTCAAAATGTGGTACCTGGACCAGCAGCATCACCCAAGAACCATTGGCAATGGATGTTTGGGGGCTGGGGATGTAGCTCAGTAGAAGAGTGCTTGCCTAGCATGTACTAGGCTCTATGTTCAAGCCCAGCACAGGAGGAAGGGAGAGACAGAAAGGAGAGACCATTCTGGGGCCTTCTTCCTGAAAGGGGCCCCTGGGACAGGGTAGGTAATCTGTTTTAATCAGCTTTCTGTTGACACTGATGCACACTAATGTGTGAGAGCCACTGATACAGATGGAATGACGAGACCCAGTGCCAGCAAGAGGGTAAGTAGGCGGTCCAGCTGAGACCCACCTGGATCCCATCAATCACCTGGGCCACCCTGGGCTCTGTGTACACAGGCCTTGCCTCTTCCATCTGTCATGAGCTCACTGTAACACTTCCTTATCTGTATCCTAATGGAGTGCCATGTGCCCCTTCATTCTTAGGCGGTAAGATCTCAAGGCAGGGCCACATGGCCCCCCTGCCAGACCCACTCTCCCTCAGACTTCTCTATCAGGCTTGCACACAGTGGGCTCATCGGCACGCACCGCTGAGGGGTCAGGTCACACTCTCCCTTGGACATGACATGTCACACAGGTGTGCCAGCTGTCACACAGGGAGAGCAGGCCAAACGTGACATCATTCGTTCTTTTAATCCATTTTTAATCCATATTTATTATCTAAGAGGTTCCAGACACTGAGCTAGCCCAAAGTGATAGCAGGGGACCAACCTGAGCCTCTGCCTCAAGCAAAACCAGCCCCAGGCTCAGCTCCTATAGCCAAACAGGATGAGCTGGCAGCACAGCCCTGGAGGAAGTCAAAGGTGGCAGATTTTCTGAAGCCTTAAATCTATCAGAGGACTTGATGAGCTTACAGAGTTGAAAGGAGGATAGCCCCTTTTCTCCAGGTCAGAGAGAGGCACCCCACGCAGTATAGAGCCAGGATGACCAAGGAGACCCCTCAAAATCATGCCTAGTGCTTCCATATGCCCCACCTCCACTCTCTGTCCCCACCCCAGGTGCCTGTTTGTGTCTTTATGCAAAACATACTTTGTACATTTTAATCTTCATTACTTGAAACTGGCAGAGCAGTGTTTAATTAAAACTTGGTCCATTAAAGGAAACATAATCGCAAAAGAAAATAAAAAGCCCAACAAAGCTCCGAGCCCATATTTAAAGGAAGCTGTTAGGGATCAAGTCAGTGAAGGACAGGACCTGCGTACACAAGGGGCCCTGGAAGTCTTCCCAGGAGACAACGCCAAGACCGTGTCCCTGATTTGGGGGTCGGGACATGGTGAGATGCAATGGAAAAGATGACCCAAGGGACACTCCCCTAACCTCAGAGAGGCTCTTCACTGGATTCCTCTAAGCCTGGGGGTGGGGCTCAGAGCACACCCCAGGAAATCTCAGAGGGGAGCCAATATTTTAGCTCACAGTCCTAGGACAGGGAAGGACTTCCCCAGCTCCAGTCTCTTGCCCCCCATACCCCCACCATGGAGTTATATTTAGGGCTGGAGATATAGACTGCTTGCCATGAAAAGCCCAGACCCTGAGGCTCCAACCCACTGCTTCAGCGCTCCCCCCCGCCCAGTCCCCAAGCCTGGGATCCAGGGTCCCTCTAATGCAGCTGGTGGCAATTTATAGTGGATTCAAGTTAAAGTGGTGCCATCCATTCGTACAAACACCCAAGCAACATTTCAGGAGCATCTCCTGAATAAAGGCCCCGCAAGTTAGGAGGATATATTCCAAGTCTTGTCCCTGGCCTCCAATCTGAAAATCTGAGGGGACCTGAAGACAACTGCACTGGTAGCTATGGGTCCCCAGCAGCCTAGAGAGACCGTCGGGTGAGGCTGCAGTTCTGCCTTTAGATGAGAGCACGCAGAGGAGGTTGGTACAGGACGCGGGGGGGGGGGTCCAGGCTGGGGTGTGAGCGCTGTCCGTGGTGCTGGTGACCGAGCTGCCAAGAAACGATCCCAGAGGTTGGGCTTCCTGCGGGCTACATACAGGGAGGTAGACTTGGGATGTCAGACCCGTAAGAACCCTCACCGTTGATGGGCAGGCCAGGGAGTCCAGGATCTCCATGAACAAGAGTCTTACCAGAGACGCCTGTTTCACTCCATGGCTTCTCTGGGGCACCTTAGGCCAGGAATTCCTGAGATTGTCTCCAAATAACACCCTTAAAGTCCTGTCCTCAGAAACTCCCCAGTTGCACAGACCTCTGCACTCTTGCACCTGACCCAATGGCTGCTGTCCGCAGAGGCTGCCTTCTCAGCTACACAGAACTGGCCCAGCATGCTAGGAAGAAAGAGCCAGGTGGACCAAGACTCCCCTGACCCCCAACCTGTCTGGACAAGGGAGTGACATGAAAGGCAGTTTGGAGGGGTCCAAGGCCTGGAGGGAACCTGCCAGCCCCTGTCCCTGCTAACTCCAAATGCTGCCTCTGAACCCCACCTGTGGCCTTGTCCCAGGTCCTGTCCCCACTCTGGTGCCCGCCTCTCCCTCTGCATTTTCTTCAGACCAGATGCCAAGCAGGGCAACACTCCAGCCCCACCAGGCACCCTCTGCCCCTTCCCCAGCCTGGCCTGAGGGCCTAGCTTCTGTGGGAGCCTGGAAGAAGGAACAGCTGCAGGCCCAGCAGGTTGTGAAGTTCCCTTCGGATAACTAGCAGGTCCCAGTGAGTCCCTCACAAACTCACCCCAGCCTGGCTGGGAATTGCCCAAGGTCCTGTGTGAGGGAGGGGGATGTAAGTGCTCCATGTTCCAGCTGAGCCTGTTTTGGCTCTTGGAGATCCGAGGACTGGGAGCGAATCCTGAGCAGAAAGGGTCCTTGTCCTCAATCTCTGAGAGACACCCCCCCCCCCGCGTCAGAGACAGGCGGGGGCCCTGCCTGGAGGAGGGGAGGGCAGCGAGGGCGGAAATAGAGGGATGGGCTAGGCAAAGAGGATGGGCGGACCCACCTAGGAGGCCACGGGCCAGACAGGATGGAGTGCCTCCCAGCATGCCAGCACTAACTTTGCAGCTCAGACGGGACCCACTCAAGGTGGAAAAAACTTGGAGGGGGACAGTAAAGAGGCTTGCTAGCTGGTGCCACTTTGGAGCCCAGGACCTCAGTCTTGGTGTTTTCTAACCCCGTTCTTATCTCTCCACACCCGATTCCACCCCAGCTTTGATCAACTCCAGACAGGTCCAGAATTGCAACCCCATCAGTGCAGTCACCCCGAACCCCGAATCCATGTTTCCCCATCCCCATTGACCCTCACCTTTGATGGAAGCGCAAACCTCCTTTACCACTTAGGATTTACCCCCCTCAGGGACCGGACCTGGCCCACCTCCACCACTAGCCCCCTGGGGCGCAAAGACCTACTGGCGCCAACCAAGCGAGAACTTTACCGAAAGGGTCTCAGGGTGACCAGGCATCTTCTGACCATTATCTTCCCATCCGGGTTGACTGTGATCATTGTTCAAACTTGTGTGGACGAGGAGCCACGGGCGAGGCCGGACGCACCTTCCCGGGCCACGTCGTCGTCGTCGTCGGGGGGGCGCCCAGCGAAGCTGGTGAGGGCGGAAGCCGGGTGGGGAGCAAAGATGGGGCGCAGGGCGCGGTGGCTTCGCTGCTCCGGAGGGGATGGCGCGGCCTGGGAGCGCAGGGCAGGGGATCCGCGAGGGCGTCGGGCCGGGGGAGGGGGGAGGTCTCTGCGTCTCCGCCCTCGGCGCTTCACATGTTGGGGACCCGGAGGCGGCGCGCCCCCAGATCGCTTGCCGCGCGTCTGCCTGCTCGGGCTCGGTGGCGGGGCGGGACGGCGCCGCGGCGCGCAAACGGGCTCCCCGCGGCGGGCGCCCTCATCCCCGGGCCCGCGCGCTCCCAGCCGGC